CATTTGTATTCAGTTCTAAAATACCACTGCTTCTTTTCCACATGAGTGATAATTTCATGTTTGTCATGATTTGGGCTTCATTGTATTACCAAAAACTCAAGCAAAGGTTACTCTGCTGTTTAATATGATAGCCACTAGCTGCATGGGGCTAAATTAAATTTAAATTTAAATTATTTAAATTAAGATTAAACATTCAGTTCCTCAGTTACACTAACCACACTTCAAATGTTCAGATAGCTACATGTGGCTATGGGTTACCGTACCGAATGGTACAGATATGGAAGGTTTTTCCATTGCAGAAAGTTCTGTTGGACAATGCTATTTAGAAAGCTAGCTGTTAGTTCCCTTACTCTTTCTCTTTTCTAGACATAAGAATATTTTGATGGGTTTTATTTATTTTTTCATTGTAAATTATCATTTATAGCTGATTCTTGAACAATGCCGGGGTTAGGGGCGCTGACCCATATGCGGTCAAAAATCCTAGTATAACTTTAGATGTCCTCGAAACTTAAGTTGTCCCTCGGAATCCACAGCGGTAGGGGAGTGGTTCCAGGACTCCCACAGATACTAAAACTTGAGGCTGTTCAGGTCCGCTCTATAAAATGGTGCAGATCAGTGTATTCAGTGGGCCCTCTGCATCCGCGCACTCCCAGCCACTGACAGAAAACAGTACAGGTATTTATTGAGGAAAATCTGCACATAAGTGGAACCACATAGTCCAAACCCATGTTGTTCAAAGATCAACTGTAATTCTGTGATTCTCAGACCATGATGTTACAAGCTTTTGTTAGGGAACAAAGCATTAGCCCTTTATCGTGGGAAAAAACAAATGGGAGAAGACTCACAATATGCTGAACATTTAATTTCTGGAATGTACCTTACGCTCTCCCACTTTGGAGACTTCGCAGTACTGCTCAGAACCCTCCTTCCCAGCATCCCACTGTGTGTGGACTTCTCATCTGTCAGATCTCAGCTCAGACTGTCTCCAGGGAGCATTCCCCATCTCTCCTCCCTGCCCTGCCCTCCAGCCTGGGTTATGAGTCTCCTCAATTAAGTTACCATGGTAACCTGGCCTTCCCCTGCCTGGGAGTAGTTGCTTGTTTTCTGGCTTCTCCCTCCCACTGAACAGCAAGCCTGGTAAGGCCAAGGACCAGTCTGTCATATTCGCTATTGTATATCATCCCCTGTGCCAAATCGCCCCCCCACCCCGCCACCCCGCCCCGGTACAGTGCCTGGTACTTATAAGCTGTTCATAAGTAATGTAGAAGGAAAGAACAAGGGGCTGCACAAGAGAGGGGCCGTAACTGAGTGCTTCGTGTTAGGGCAGGTCCCTCTCCCCTGGGCGAGGAGTCTGTTCCAGAAGGGGTTTTATCAGAGACAGCTTTCTGCCTGGCCACCTTTCAGAATACACATCAGTGCTCTGAGCTGTTTCTTCAGTAGTGATGACGGCACATGTAAGACATTTAAACCCCCATTCTGGTTAAAGTTTATGGTTTTCATTTAATCAAAAGTAATATTGAAAGACTGAGATGATGGTGGGCAAGTGATTCAAGAGAAGGAGAGACGGTAGAGTTGAAGAATGGTGATAATATGATAGAAATTCTGCATCTATCAGCAGGCAGCTGTCCTTGGCATGATGGGCCAAGTCTCAGCAAGCCAAATGACCTCACAGGGAGGCAGCCGTGGAAAGGAAAGGTATTCCATCAGAATAGGTAACAGGAATCCCAACTCAAACGTACTTTAAAAATAAATTTATTTGGCCAAGTTACAGGAAATCTGTAACTAGAGATAGGAGGCTCAGAGTCGGTTGATCCTGTGTCTCAAACATGTCAGTGAGAACCCAGGTTCTTTCCGGCTCTCAGTTGGCCATTCTGAGTGTTGGCCTTGTCCTCAGGCTGGTAGGGAAGTGGCTTCTGCAGGGACAGGCATCCCATCTGGGACCTCAGTGTCTAGATGAGCAAGGGAGAATGTTAGCCCCAGTCACAGGTGAGGGGAAGGATTTGCCACAACTGTATTAGATGAGGCATCTGGAGTCCATGTATCAGATACTGACTGAGGCGGCCACAAGTCCCAAGACCTCCTAGCCCCAAATATCCTCCTTCAACCCCAAATATCCTCCTTCAACCCCAGCCTGTAGATTTTTAAAGTGCTTTAGCCTGCACCAATACAGAAAATACTGAGTGAAAACACTTTACTCCATTAGCTAATACCAGTTCATGTCTTAGATGTGATCTTAACTAAGGGGACACATACGGAACAGGAAAGCTTCCTGTATGGAAAGAGAGTCTAGGAGAAGAGCTAGGAGGGCTCACCAGAGACCATTTCTAATACTTAACAGTCCTACTAGAGTCAGCCTGAGCCATCATGAAACTGAATTGTCCGTGCCCATAAGGATTAATACCGCCCCTCACCCCAACCCCAGCTGAAGAAGAAACACTGGTTTAATTTTTAAATTTAGCAATCTCCATACATTTATGATTTACCATGTAAATGGTATGTATTCTGAGAAATCTGGAATCCTTCAACCGATCAGTTATGCTTTTTTTTTCTCCTTCTAGGTAGACTTCGCAGTGTTAGTGCTGTGCTGAATGAGGTCACAGTCTAACTACAGTATTAACCCTGCAAATCTGTTCATTTTTGCCCGAGCACCCTCAGGCAGGATATAGAATGTGTCCAATTGAAAAACTATTACAGACACTGCAGTGCGGGGCTGGGGTGAATTATAATGGAGGGTGATGTGTGTTAGGGGCGTGTGTCTTTAGCCAGGAAATCATTTTCTAAAAGGAAGTCAGGTAGTAAGTATCTCTTAAAAGTAGAGGTTATATGATTGCATTTTCAAAGGAAAAATGTTTTCTGTCATCTAAATTTTAAAATGCTACGTTTAATATTTCAGAACCTTAACTGTTTTAAATTTTTCTTCCAATGTCTTTGGATTTTCATTTTTTCCCCCCTACCAGTACCTCTTTAACTTTTTTCTGTGTTCCAAACATCCTTTTGTGTTTTTTAATACCTGTTTTGCATTATTAAAAATATATAGGAACATATAAAGAATAATGTAATCATCATCCATGAACCCACCTCTCGATTTCAGAGATAAAACATTAACTCTTCTTCTGTGACTGCTTCTGGGCTCTGTTTAATTCAGCATGGAGAAAAGCACAACACAGATGGTCAGCATTTTGTGAAAAGGCCCAGTAACCACCCCGTTCACAGTAGATGCGGGGTTTCAGAAAGCGTGGGCATTCACCGTCTTGCCTGGACATGTGGTTAATGCTAAGTAGTCTAACAGTCGTGCCCCCAGGTAACTCCTAAAGCTGTTTCAGATCATAAAATATATGGTGTTTTGCAAATTTATATTTTATCATGCTGGGTTTTATGCACAAAAATTAGATGACTTCCCCTTTGTAATCTCCATCAAAGGCATTTTTCAAAATCCCTTTATTATGCCTCATCACTAGCTTTGGCACATATTGTTTGCATGTTTGAAAACAATCTCTGGCTAAATTATAAATCTGAGAGTATACTTGTGGTATTCAGAATTCAGATATAAATGTTATTTTAGCTTATTCCTCAATTGTAGACTCTAAATATTTGACGCCTTTATTGAGTGCTGGAGACCTGACTTTACTTGTCTGTGGTTTGGGCTTTATAAGCATTCTACCATGTTTGGATAGTTTTTGAAATATTTATGTTGTATCCATAGAAAGGATGTAATATTTCATTTTCTCAAGAGTACAGTTTCTTCCACATGTTCTTGCTGCCACCATGTGATATCCTCCTTCTGCTGTTTGCTCACCTTGCACCTTTGCCTGTGGGACTAAACATTGTGCATTGACATCTGCCTCAGCTCCTCATCGGCACTTGGTTTCTTCAAGAAGTCCAGCATACAGAAGAGCAGCTTGCACATACCTATCACTGGAGGGTACATACTTGTCTGCGGGGGACACCTAAAACTGCAGATAGTACCAAACCCTATACACTGTGGGTTTTTTTCCTATACACATGGAGCTATGATAAAGTTTAAACTACTCTCATTCTTTGGGGCCATTATTAAGTAAACTAGGGTTACTTGAACATAAGCACAGCCATACCATGACACTTGATCGGATAACTGAGACCGACTGATAAAGTGACTAAGGGTGGGGAGGGTCTGCGGTGTGGATACACTAGACAAAGTGGGTACACTGCAATGGAACGGGATGGTGTGAGATTTCGTCATGCTACTCAGAATGGCGTACAATTTAAAACTTACAAACTGTTTATTTCTGGAATTTTCTATTTAATATCGTTGGACCACAGTTGACTGTGGGTAACTGGAACCTTGGAAAGGGTCTACTATACACTCTTTTCAGAGCATCTCCGGATCCATAGTCTTAAAGGGAGAGAAACGGGGAACAAATGGGTAGAATGTGGATGGATTTTGTTTTTTAATCTGTCGACTGATAAACTTATGGTACTTATTTACATGGTTGCTTTGAGTACATGAGCTAATGGCTAGACCAGTCGTGCCCTCTTTTTCCTGATTTGAAAAATAAAACTTGAAAGAAACATTTTGCAGAACGCAAATGCTAAAAAGCCTGTTTCAACCACATCGCTATAAGGAAGTTTCCAAAGGCAAGGATAAAGCATTCGTGTTTTATTTAGATGTGTATCGTTTCAGGTATTGATTACCTTTTCCTTTGGAATGAACGGCGCTTCTCCACATGCCATTTTCCACTTGTTAAATGGGAGAATTCTTTAGTAGAATTTGTCACAATGCTCAGGAAGATTTGAAATGAGTTCAGATTCTTGATTTTGAACATGGGAAGTTTTCCTTTTCTTTGTCACGGAATTTGTCTTTCTAACATTCTTTATAACAAAAGTGAGAGCTTGCTGATTTTCCAGATTTTATTGCCAAACAAATGTCAGCTCTCATCACTGGCTTATTCTTTACGATGTATGTGTTTCCTTTCTCTCCAATGAAAAAAGAAAACATGTCTAACTTGCTTATCTCTCTGTAGGACAGTCGACCCAATATGTCAAGACCTCTGATCACTAGATCTCCTGCATCTCCACTGAACAACCAAGGCATTCCTACTCCAGCACAACTCACAAAATCCAATGCGCCCGTCCACATTGATGTGGGCGGCCACATGTACACCAGCAGCCTGGCCACCCTCACCAAATACCCTGAATCAAGGTAATCCAAAAAACAGCAACGTCACACTCAGAAGTGCATGTATTTGATGATCTAACTGTTTTTCCTTTGACCAGCTTAGCAGCTTGGCCCCACCAGGGCCGGGGTTAGGACTTGAAAGCGCCATGCGGGCCACCCGCCTACCAAGGCTGCTCTTGGATGTGCTGTAAACCTTCTGCGAGTCAGGGCTTGACCCACAGCTTAGTCACGTACACATAAAAACGTCACGTGAGAATGGAGTTCTGTGATATTTTACTCTGCAAAGATCTTCATATTTTTTTTAGTGTAGTATAAAAAGGACAATGATTTCTATCCTGAACCTTTCTTCCGTCCTCTTCTAAAACACATTTGCTTATGAGTTCTTAGAATTTTGTGGGAGATCCCTTGGCCCACCAACATGTGAACTAGAGAGGGAAAAAAAAAAGAGAGAGAGGCTTATCAGTGGGACAGTATATTTAGAACAGTATGCAAAAATCCAGGAAGCAAAGATAGACTCGTTTAAAAAAAAGAAGGCAGTGAAACTTATGAGCATTCAAGGCAGATAAGTAAATATAGAAACTGTACGAAGAGGGGGAGTGGTTTACAAATAGGCAGTGTACACGATGCTTATGAAATATCCCTCCCAGGCCCCCACCTACCAGTTTCCAAAGAAGTTCCAAGGGAGCGATTTATCTTGCTCTCTGGGACAATCTCTGGCTCTTTCAGGAGTTCAGGGCTTTGCCCACATCCTATAAGGGAGTTTATCTTCAGCAGCTCTGCTGGTGGGTAGGGGAGAAGGCATGAGCTCACATGGCCTGATGTCAGGAAAAAGCGTGTTTCTCGTCACATGAAATAGAAACACACCACTTGGGCTTCAGAAGGGCACCAGTTGCATCTTCAAGACCCTCTTACGAAGTGACAGCATACAGCCTATGTAGATAGCACTAACATAAGAACCACTGTCATCTTGATAACTGCATGAAGACTGGTTTTTTGCTTTTGTTAATCTCACTCTACTACCTGATATTTATGAAAGAACGTGAAGGTCGAAAAGAAGAAAGATGAAATATTTTTACTATTGATTTCCAGATTTAATTTCTACAATCAAAGGAAATGATTTTTTAAAAATAGATGTCTATTAATTCAGTTATCCAGAATAACTACGTATTTTTAAATGAAATGATCACATCAGTCACTTATTAGTTTTATTGCATATGTATCATTTGCGTATGACGTGAGCAGCAGGTTTTCTTGTTGAGCTCATTGTGGCTGGGTAGGTCTCTTCCCACCGATTAAGGCCCCACAGAGTGTTTGGCCTTTATGAAGCTCTTGGTATCACTTGGCCCATTGGCAGTGGTAGAAGATAGAGGGTTAGAGGCTCTGTTTATTCAGTTTCTCTCTCTCACATAATTTGTGACTTTAATCATTCTGGTGCTTCATATTGTTAAAGACCTCAAATAGGGCCTCATTGGATGAGTCTTCCTCTGGTCACCTCTCCACAGGTATTTCTAAGAGTCTACCTTTTGTTCCTCATTAGCCACACTCTGGGACATGCATCACATTCCATGCATCTCAGTACTCTTGATATCTGCAGCCCGATGTGGCAGCCACTGGCCAGGTGCCGCTATTGAGCACTTGAGATGTGGTTAGTCCAAACTGAAATCTCCTCTAGGTATAAACCATACACTGGATTTTAAAAACTTAGTACAAAAAACAATGTAAACTATCTCAATAATTTTTTACATTGATTTTATGTTGGAATGATAATATATTGCGTTAAATAAAATATATCATTAAAATTAATTTTACCCGTTTCTTTTTACTTTTCCAATGTGGCTACTAGAAAACACAAAATTACATGAGTCTTGCTTTTATTTCTGTTAGACAGTGCTGTACTATGCCAGAATTTTAAAAACAACCTGATACTTATATGCATCGTAAGTTGAATTTCTCTTTAACCAACTTAATTAGGAAAGCTAAAATTGTTCATCTTCCTTTCCTGGTCTTTCCCTGTGCTTCCTTTTCACAGCGGGCCACAGTATCACAGGAGCAATATCAAAACTAATTTGTGGTTCAGTAGTCCCAGGTTTGAATGTTGATGTTGCCATTTATCTAGTAGTTGTTTGGCCATGGATAGGTTCAATTTCTGAGTGTCTGTCTTCTCTCTTGTAAAGTCGACACAAATATGTCTTCTTGCAAAATTATTGGGAGGATTAAATGTGATTACGAAAAGCACGCCATGGCCCTGCGCCCAAAGCATATTGCTTTTCTCCTTAATCTGCCAAACTCAGCAATTGTTTCTTTTCAAACCACCTTCCAAATTCCAGATATATTTCATTCCTTCATTTCCTAGACCATGGAAATAGCCTCACTTCTGAATTATTGCCTGAATTACTGCAGATTCAAGGGACTCCTCACCTGCTCCTTCTGGCCCTTTATCTTAAACACCCCCACCTGTCGCAGAGCTGCCAAGCCATTTGAAGACCATCTTTATCAATAGGACATATTTTTAAACATATGTCAAGACTCACAAGCCTTACAAAGTCGCTTCAGTTTCTGTTGCTTACACGTAGAGCAGATGACACAGGTTTAGATGTTGAATTAATCCCTATGTGTTGCTTTGTTCTCTCTTGGGTTTTCTTGTTTTTGTGTTTGGTAATTAAATGTTTATTTCAAAACAACAATCAATTTAATGGGACTCATACACAAATTTTAGTCGTCAAACATACCAGGAAGAAATAGTTCTTCATGCTTTTCCCATAGAAGTCAGGTATTCCTTCAACCTCTGCGAAAATCTCTTGCATATCATCAACCCTTTGTGGATAAATCCTAGGACATTAGAATGCCCATGACCATAGAATTACAAATAACTCCAGTTTGAATTCTCTAGATTCTATTTGAACCCTTCTCACCCTATGGGACCCTGCTCCGCCCTTACCCTTCGAGCACCTGGCTTCTCTCACCCACCTTTCCTTTGGTATAACCCAGAGGGGAGGAGGGCTTTTTCTCAGTTTGCTTTTCTAGGATTTCAAGGGCAGACTTGTAGTGTAAAAGTACTAATTTGTTTATAACAAGTGATCTTAAAAGATGTAATGTCTTTCTACAATATCAAAGGTCCTGCAAAAGGACCTTTACTCCATTTTGAAATATTGTAGGTGATTGTTTATTCTGTCTCTAGGCACTGCCCTTTTGGATAAAGACCACCTTTAAAACACCATCCCCAGAAAGTAGTACGATGGACCACACGGCTAAACATTAGAAGCACCCAGGAAGGATTAAAAGCCCATGGGAGGCCCTGCCCTAGAGAAATAAAATAGGAATCTCTGCGATTTTCCTAAGAGATCCTGAATTTTACCATCTGGCTTTGAACAACACTAAAATGTTTGTTCCCACCAAGCAAATAAAAGGCTCTTCCTCAATGACTATTTCATCTGTATTATGATGGCCATTCCATCAAATGACAATACCTTTGATCTTCGTTTCTTTAATTATGAAGATTAGCAGGATCTACTGTGTGTATGCACCCATGTGCTTTTTTTTTTTCCTGCTTGTGGGCCCTGTAAGCAAGTTAATTTTACATCTCACAACAAGGTTAATCACTCATATCAGGTGTTTTTTAGCTAAAAGAACTAAAATTTTTAAATTAACTGAAGTTTTGTATACATCAGTGATGTACTCTGTTTTTACCAATGTTTGTGTAAGATGCAAAATAACTTTTTGGAGATGTTTATGAGACAGAGGCTGATCCACACCACCTCAGTGATAAACACTGTTCTCTTTTAGAGGAACCTATGAGTCTCCAATTCTGGTTGCTGTTTTGAATTGTAATCACCAAGAAAAATATCCAGTCCAGATCTGTAGTAATTTTCCATCAAATAAGTAAAACAAAAAAGTTGAGAAAAATATATCACCATCATGAAAAGATTTTAAAGATATACTAAGAAGATAGAACATATTTTATTTAACAGTTTATTAGTTTGATTTATAAGTTGTAAATATCTAGACATGTGGGAGGGAGGTGGGCCTCATTTGTACTCTTGCCCTGGGCCCTGCAAATTTTAAGGATAGACCTGATTATATCTGATTCAAAAATCGAAAGCACTCATTCTGAATATCATTGGTAACAAAAAAAAATCCAGGTTATCTAAATAACTTGTCATAAGTAATTAAGATTGGTACGAAAATACATGGTCTTCTTAAAATCTGTTGACATTCTGAAATGTCTTCTGAGCCACATATTTGTGTGATATTAAAGAGACATTCTATGACTGCTTTAAAAGAAGACACAAGTCTGAGTTCAAAGTTTGGTCTGTTTTATCCTTTACTGTCACCTCAAATAAAAAACAATATTAATAGCAACTATATTGATGATTATTCATATGTGGACATTTTAAAACTAGAAAGTGGGCTGATACTACTAATTCACCAAACCTGTGGGGTGGTAATAAGGCAGGGGTCTTGGCTAAAAGAGCTGACTGCCAGCCAGAGACCTAGAGGTGAAAGACAAGATCTCATGTTACAATCCCCTGAGCCATTCCATCTGACAGCTTGACAGAGCTTTTGTATATTTTAAACCCAGTACATGAGTTAACTCCCACATAAGTAGATTATGCTAAATTGGTCTCTCTTAAATAGCAGAGTTACTAAGCACACTGGCATATGCAGGTAATTGCAAAACTCAAGAGATTCGGCTTTCAGCCTTGCAGTTGACACCCATGGCCACCCAAGGGGTGTGTGTATTTGGAACTTGAGAATGGAGATGCTTTGCCAGCAGAGATCCGGCTTCTGGCCTGCTTCATTCTCAGATGTGTCAGCCATTAAGGAATGGTTTATGTGGAGCTGCACTAAAAGGAAAGTCAGTTGAGAGCAATTTTAAGTGATTGGTGCACACACTCTTAACAACAACTGAATTCTCACATTCAGATGTCCATGTAATTGACATGTGCTGGCCTAGGGAGTTTTCTGTAATCTCGTGTTAGGGCTGGGGGTTCTGTGCTGTGACTTTATGACTTCACAGGTTCTAG